TGTGTGTTTAGTTTCAGACCTCTACAATAAATCAATTTACAATAAAGTGAATGAGACATTTTTCTTTGGTTCCCAGTGCATATAAAAGTTAATCTTTCACTATACTATAGACTATGAAACATGCGATAGTATTGTGCTTAAAAATGTATGTACCTTAATTAAAAATACTTTAGAGCTAAAATGGTAATCATCTATGACTTCACCAATCTTTTTGCTGATAGAGGATCTTGTGAAAAATTAAAGTGATATGTGTGAAGCACAACAAAGGAAATATAGTAAAACGAAGGATACCAGTATATTTTCTTTTTTCATTATTTTTATATTACCACATTCAAGTACTAAATAAAATATACATACACACAGAAATTGTCATATACATGTGTGTGTATACACACACACACACACACACGAACACACACACACACACACACACACGAACACACACATACATTCATATTTGTAGACAGAGAAAGAGCGTACAGGTTTTGATAGCTTACTGGCTACTCTGGTTTAATCAAAAAACTATGATTAAACATGAATTGCTTGTTACTCTTATAGTTTCACATAACAAGCTTTTTTTTTTGTTTAACCCCTTGCACTGGGACAGAATCAGTGTGACTGAGTGGAACTGAGCATTTGCTGACAAGTTGCCCTTCCTGACACCTATGCAGAATTCACAGCAGACAATTATTCATTGCACCCAGAGAGAGAAATATATGCTGCTACCTGATTGTGAGGCGAGAGCTCCCCTGTTAGGCAAAAGTGGGCTGCACTTACTTTAACAACCGGTTCGCTGGTTGTGAGGGCATGCAGGGCAGAAACAGAGCTTTAAACATGTAGCTAATCAAATCAGGCAGCTCCGGTGAGTATAGCAAGTATGGCGCGGAACTCAGCTGGGCAGCATGGGCAGGAGGAATGAGCCAGTAAGTTAGTTATAAATGGAAAGGATAGCGCAGTGGCGGGCGGGCGAGCCCAGCCAGTGATCACAACTACCAGTTCGCCCGATAGAGAGAAGAGGTTAGAATTGGCAGGAACCTACCCCTGCCTCTAGGCCACCGTGCTGTTCACCTAGGCATTATTAATTAATGCCAACCAAACAGTGCTGAACATCTCAAGAAGAGCTACAGTACAGTGTGTAGGATTCATCTTTAATATGGGAAGGAGAAATGATGCTGCCCATGTCCCATGTAGTAAATAGTTGTGATTTATCAGGTTTAAAGCAGCAGTAAATCAATTGGGCCTATTTCAACATCATAAATTCAGTCCACATTTCAGGCACACCCTATCAGGCTCACCAAATAGAATAAATTTGAAGGGGGAGCAAGGGAAACTAAATGAGGGAAATGGTATCTAGGAATTCTACAGCAAGAATTAGTAAGGATTTCATAGAACAGCATTCCTGATTCCAGGTTGTTTTCTAAATAATTGCTTATTCTGCCTGATCACAGCTGGCTCAGACCTGGTTCCCATCAGCAACTTACTGCAATGGAGCCTTGCCAGGTTTGCTTGAAGACTAAACATTCCTGTGCCACCTTTTGATGCCTTCTCTTCAGTGCTGGCAGTATTGAGGGCTGGGAAGAGGAGATAGTGGTTCCTGGCCTGGATCAATTTCCACTGAGTCCAGAGCCAGAACAGTGAAGCTAATTGCTGATTCAACATTTGCATGACCTCAATTTTCACATTGAACAGAGTGGCAGGTGTTCTTACTCCCCAAACAGCACATTCTGTGTCTACTTGCCTATTGTTTTTTGGAAGCCCTACTGAGAAGCGTCCTAGGATAAAGCAGCAATTAGAAATTCCTTTGGAGGGAGAACTCAAAGGCTGCTTTTCCTCAGACAGAAAAATGCACAGAACAAGAAAAAGCTGAATTGTCACCAAAGGAGGCAAAATGTCTACTATAAATAAACTAAGAGCCTTATTACTCAATCTGTATTTCAGAAATTGGACCCTGAAATAAAAAGATGGAAATACACTTTTGTTTCCTTGTAAAATGAAATAGAAATGTTTTGTTGTGGGCAACAAATTGGCCTCATCTAGATATTTATTTATTTTCTAAAAGCATTAACATCTATAATATCTAAATATTTAAACCAGTGGGCAATTATCCCAATGTTACTTAAGTGTATGTAGTTGGCATTTTACAAAGTTTTGGATGACATGCCACAGAATGATAATGCAGGACTTATATTTGAGCCCTGTTTCCACTAAGAAAAAAAAAATAATTGAAGCAACTTCAATTTAAAAATGCACAAATATATGGCTTTGAATATACATCTCAAATTACATGATGAAAAAGAATTTGGGGTACATGCTACATAAAAAAATGGAACTCAAATTGTCTTCTTCAGCACTAATTCAATAACTAGAATGGAAAGAAAACTAGGAATAATATAAAAATAGCCACAAATATATAGTAGAAATTACCTAGTTAGCTCTTGAGGCAATTTTTTAAAAGTAGACATCCTTCAGCTGACTTTGATTCCCTTGACTGCATGAATTACAACAATATGAAGGTATTTTGCCATTCAATTTTTTAAATTTCACTGTCTCATCTAAAGTACTAAAAGCATGAAATAGGAAATAACAGGCAAAATAGTCTTCTATAATAGGCATTTAATCATAACAAACATACATGTTGTTGAAAAAAAAGGCAAATAATTTACTTCTTTGTTAATGCTGCTAATGCTGATACTATATTAAAATGGTGGGAAAGTTAAGCAAATAATATTTTTGTTCCCTTCATTGGCATTGAGTTATTATTACCTGACTGTTTTCCAGCTTTTCTCATAATGAGACAATGCTAACTTTTCTGCAGGACCGGTTATACTGAGGATGTTCTTGTGCACCTGCACCATTACAATGTTATAGAATTCAACTGGCATGCAAAGATCTTTCTTATCTCCCTGCTTTCTCTGACCTTTAACCAGATAATGTTACATTTTAAAAATGGAATACTGGCATGCTTTAAAGCAAAATGCCAGATTTCTGCATCATTAAAGCACTCTTCTAAGGGGGAGGGGAATGATGGGTACTCTAGTGCTACCTTTGGAAGAGTATAGCCCCCCCTCCAAAAAGAAACAAAAAAAACCCAAAACAAAACAATAAAAACGAGGAGGCAATGTATTTTTGGTAACAGTGAACCATAAACTTTCAACCAAGATTAACCCATTATGTGGGTTAAATGCATCCCAGGTTGTTTGGGTGCATAGTCATGAAAAGCTATGTAACTGATTTGAGTAAAATAGGGTTATAGAAAAATATTATCATATAGTAGTAATAAAAGCACAGTTAAAAGTATGTTGAACATAGGATGAAGTATTCTGAAGAACATGGAAATGTTGGTAGGAATCATATTGTGATTGGTTATAACCATTGCAGAAGACGTTTCAAATTCCAGCTGTCTCAGAGATCCATATGACAGGTTTTCCCAGCATGGAAATGTAAGAAAATTTTAATGTTACATAAATATCATTAAGTTGCTGAAAATAGGCTAGAATTGAAATTGAAGCTTTGAACTCTTCAATAGTTTTTCCCATACTAAGGTCATGTCACATATTGCAATTAACAGGAAGAGGCAAATAATACAGATATAGATTTCCCAGAAGACATGTTATACATCTCAAAATTGCTCAATATATTTATTTCAGTGCAATTCTGGTTCTCAATTTATAAGTTTAAAGATATAGATAGCTCATCCCAAGGATGGTTTCTCTGCAATAAGGCCACGGAAGATCTACAAGGCTAGATAGAAAGATAATGTAAACGTATTGGAGACTGAGCAAGGCATTTGGCTCCACTTCTGAAGATCACTGAAGCTAAAATTAAAGGTAAAGGTAAAGGTTCCCCTTGCACATATGTGCTAGTCATTCCCGAATCTAGGGAGAAGTGCTCATCTCCGTTTCAAACTGAAGAGCCAGCGCTGTCCGAACACGTCTGCGTAGTCATGTGGCCAGCATGACTAAACGCCGAAGGGGCACGGAATGCTGTTACCTTCCCCCCATAGAAAGGTGGTTCCTATTTTTCTACTTGCATTTTTACATGTTTTTAAACTAGTACAAGGGGAGCTCACTCCGTTATGGGGTGCTAGGGATTAGAACTGCTGAACTGCCAACCTTTCTGATCGACAACCTCAGCGTCTTACCCACTGAGCCACTGCGACCCTACCAAGCTAAAATTAGTTCCCCAGTAATCTTCATAAAGAAAAATGAAGATTGAAAACCAAGAGGAAGTATTATTCTCCTCACCCCCTCAAGAATTGTATAGCGTGATGTAATGAGACTTGTCTGAGGTGAGACCAAAATTGAAAAAAAGGAAAAAAAGAAAAAAAATTTAAGAAGACTGAGTTCTATCTGTACATACAGTATGTTGGTGAAAAACAGATGGCTTATCTGAGAGAGTCCAAACCAAGTCTTATCACCCACAAATGGCACATCTGAAAATGGCAAAGCAGCTGAAAGGGAGACAATTTGGAGTAAAAAATTGGAGGGAGGGTGGATCCGATTACAGCTAGTTCGGATAACCAAGGGATCTTCTGCAGAAAGGAAGCAGATCCCTTAAGAGATTTCAAGAAAGCCTGGGGAAACACCCTCACCGCCCGCTTGCAACGGCGATCATCATTTGCACACCTCTGTCTGTGAACTTGAGAAAGTCCTTAATAGAGCGCAATGACAGGAAGCTCACTTGCGCTTGCTAATCTTTTTGTTTAAACCCTTCCCTCCCCACCCCAGTAGCCGTTTGGGCCATCTGGTTTTGGATGGCTGTGCAGCTCCTTTGTTCACTTTCATTAGCTGTGCGGGGAGTCCGGTTGCTAATTCGCATGTAAGCTGAGGATACCCACAGCTGTTCAAAACTGAAACTTATCCCTCCCTGCGCGGAGACCGAATCGCACCTGCTGCTGCTTTTAAGGGCAGGGCTCCCTTTCTTGAACTTTCCCGCCGCGCCAGTAAGGGGCGCTGTGGCTCCTTCGCTCCGAAAACGAGGAACGAGAGACGGAAGTGAAGCCATAGGCTGGAGGCAAACGCTGCCCCTTCCCTCGGCGGCTAGTTCTTGCGTTCCGGCATGCCCTCTCCTTACGCCTCCCGGTTGCTAAGCGGCGACTGAATTGAAAACGAGTCGGAGGCGCGAAAGAGCTGCGGGCCGGCGGGAGTGGGAGGAGGAGAACCTGCCTCTTGGCGTCGCTCTTTGGCGTCCGATAAAGGAAGGCGGCTTCGGACGTTACCAGCTGTGCTTGCATCTTCTGGAACGGATAAAGCCAGACTTTTTGGCCTCGGCAGTCGCTGCCCCGAATGAAAATGGGCGCTAAGTCTGACCAGCTCCTCATTGTGGTGTCTATCTTGGAAGGTAATGTTTGAAGCAGTTCTCTCGGAATATGATCGGTTCACCGAGGACGAATATCTGGAGAAGAATTGGTGGGAAAAGCGATCGCACCTCTTTTCCTGCCTGCGAATGCCGCCTAAAAATCAACCCTGTCGCTTCCAGATTTTGAGATTTTAACACATTAACAGAGTTGGAAGGGACCTTGCAGGTCATCTAGTCCAGCCACTTTCCCAAGCAGGAGACCCTACATCTGTCTCTACCTAGGATCGAACTCACGACCTCCTGATTGTGAGGCGAGAGCTCCTGCGGTTGGAGAAGACTTTTGAAGGCAATGGTGGGCCATCTTGGGTTTGGGTAATGTTCAGGCATTAAATCTGCCCTACCCTAAGGGTAGTAGCAGAAACCACAATGGGTGCTGCTGCAGTGTGGCAGTAAATAATTAGGTTTTTCTTTTCTGAAGTGTATATAAGTCTTCCAGTGCCATGAAATACTTTGAGGAAGCATCTGTACCAACTGCAAATATTCCATATTTTTGCACAGATCTTATGGGTACCTCATCTGAATAAGCCAAGCACATTCTAAAGATTTAATTCTTCGGCTTGGAACTGTCCTGAAATATACTTTATTTTGTGGTTATATACTCACATTTTGTTGGTGGCTTGATCTATAATGCAGTTATTTACAGCAGAGCTGAATCTGACTTCACATTGCAGTGGAATTTAAAATAGTATTTAAAATCTGAAATGTAACTATTGAAAAAAATTAAAACACAACTACAGATTCTTCATACTATATGAAGATTATGAAACTATAACTATATTTCTCCTTGGCTTTAATTTTCTTTGCTAGTAGGTCAGAATAAACAATCTACCCATGTTTATTCACAAATAATTTTTGAGTCCTAAATATACAAAATATTGCAGCCATAATATGTGTATATGATCATATTTCAGAATTTTATAGATTATGAAATTTGGCTTGACAGAGGTTTGGATTTTCGCTCATGGGAATGCTAGAAGAATCTGTCTGATACGTTTTTGTACATGTGCTCTATAGAATGAGGGCTGATGAATAAAATAGCTGCAGCAAAAGAGAATTCCTCTTCCCCCTACTCCATAGATTATCTGCTTGATTTGTGTGCAGCCTGAAGATGTGCTGTTTCCTAGCTTCAGTTGGCAGCTGATAAAATAGGAGAGAAATTTTAACCTTTTTCTTGATTGACCTATTGGAAGCCCCATACAAATAGATAGAATGCCATGTTTACATTGGTTATTGTTATAGTTCTTTGCTGTCCTTATAGTTCTTTGCTGTCTCAGGTAAGACTTATATTCCAGAGGAAGCAAAAATAGGCTGACACTTTTCTCCTGCAGGAACCTTTAAGAGATTATAGGACAGTGATGGTGAATCTTTTTGGCACCGAGTGTCCAAACCGGAACGCATGTGCATGTGTGCGTGCCGGAGTGCCGGAAACCCAAAGACCAGATGGCGTGTGACACATGTCTGTTTTTGGGGCATTTTGGCCAGTTTTTAGGCCGTTTTCAGGCCATTTTGGAAGTTGTTTTCCAGCACTCTGGCACCCGTGAAGACCAGCTGGTGATGTGCGTGTGCCCACAGAGAGGATGCCACAGGTTCACCATCATGGTTATATGACAATGATGGTGAGCTTTTTGGGCTCAGAATATCAAAAATTTGGAAAATGCCTAACTTGAGTCTGCTGACATATCACACCGAATCCCCAAACAAAAGAGAAACCATTCTCTCTTTCCCCCCACCATTTAGGCCACCCTGAATAGAGGGATCTGAGGCTAGGTCTAAAGTAGATGACTTTGATTTCAACCTTAATGCCACTACTGCTCAGGTCACAGTGTGCCCTTTCCCATGGCTCATGAACTATGTACCACTTCCTCTCAGGCAGTATTCTCTTTCTGTTGACATGTCCTCTATGCCATACCTGAGGCTGATGTGGGTTGCATGAGGTCTTCTTTCTTAAAGCAGCTTTGGAAAATGCTGTTTTATGATTTCTGTAGCTTCCTAAAACTGTGAAAGTACACCCTGTTCTCATGCAATATCTCCCATTTTTCTGCGTCCTTTGAAAATTGCATGAGAATGGGTATGTTTTCACAAATAGTTGTGTGTTGATGAAAACTGATACATCACCCTCAAACATTGGGGCATATCACTACTGGCATGTGTCATTACTGCTGTAGAATATGAGTATGGGCTAGTCCAGGGGTCAGCAACCTGCAACTCTGGAGCTGCATGTGGCTCTTTCATCCCTCGGTTACAGCTCCTTGTCGTTGGTCGGCTCTACAATTGATAGGGCTTTTGGATAGGACAGGTAGAGGAAAAAAGTATGCTGAACTAGGAGGAGGTTCTATGGTGGGGGAACTGACTTCCGGTCAGCAAAGGAAAAAGGACATCACGCTAGGAGGAGACTATGATGGGAGAACTGGACTTCCAGTCTGCTCCAGAATTGAACGGGAGGGCTTCCAGTTAGGACCTTTGTGGCTCTTTGAGTGTTTAAGGTTGCCAACCCCTGGGCTAGTCTATCTGAGGGATTGGGAGTACAGCCACATACATGCATTAGTTTTGATATATTGTGGAGCAGTCCATACTGTAAATTCTATCAATGTTTTCCTTAACAATGTATTTCCCATTTCTCTTTGAAGAAGAGCATTTAAATATGTGACTGCTATAAACCTGGTCCCTAATTGTATTTGTACTTCATTCTTAATTAGAATTCTGGCTTAGTATGAATGAATTTGATCTCTCCCACTTCTGCAAGCATAAGTAAAGAAATGACCCATGGAAGCTTTGTGGTTTGTAGCAATATGCACAAACTGGAAAGATGAAAACCAGGAACTCCTTTTATTTGATAAAACAAATGAAGCAGCATTTCCTGTTAACATTTTATGCTAAACAAAATACATGAGTTTCTCAGTTAGCTCAAGAGTAACAGAGAAATGGATTATTTATGCTGTATACTACAGCATGCTACCTATTCCCCTTAAACTAGAATTTGGCTTGCCAGAATATGTAAACACAAACATTACATTTTTGAACAAGTCATCCATCTAAGTTACTGTCTATTGCAGACACAATCAAGTTTTGCTATAATTGGGATAAGCTGTTTTTAATTTATTTGAAACCAATCCATGGAAGATATAATTATGCAGTGGTTAAAGAATAGTTTTTAAATATTTGAATTAGATTTCACAGTATAGTTTTTTCTATTTAACAGCTTCTCAGATGTATTTTTCTTTTTCTTTTTTTCTAGGGCGTTATTTCCCAAAACGTCCAAAGCGTATGCTGGTGGTAGAAGCAAAGTTTGATGGCGAACATTTAGCTACAGATCCTGTAGAACATACTGATCAACCAGAATTTGCCACAGAATTAGCTTGGGAGCTTGATAGGAAAGCACTTCATCAACACAGGTTATTTCTCAAAAAGTTGTGAATAGGTTAATTACATGGACCTGCTTTAGGTTTTTTTAAAATAATTATAGTGTGTTGATCTGTGATAATGCTGTAAAATTCAGAGACACAAAAGATAAAGATCAGTTGTTTCCCATGTTTTTTTTTCAAATATCTTTTCAATGAAATAAATAAATGCAGTAATGGAATATGTAATCCTTAACTATTACCATATATCTAAAATAAAGATAAATATTTTATGTTTTCAGTTTTATTTTTCTTTTAATGGGAAGGTTATCAGATTTGCTTAAAACAAACCAATAGATCTGTTTTCTTCTATCCATTCATCCATTGGAGAAAGATTATTTTAAGTACTAGATTGTATTTCTTGTGAATAAAAATGGTAGCAAACTCTTGTGAGAGAATACTTTTTATTAATATAGTTGTTTCTGAAATTATATGTAAAATATTAAGATAATTGCATTCAAACTCACAGAAGAAGAAAAATATGATATATAGGCTAACAATTCTTGCATGGGATTCATATTTTGTACAGATTACAGCGTACGCCTGTCAAGTTGCTGTGCTTTGCTTTGGATTCTGTATCTTCAGTTAAAGAGACAATAGGTTATATTGTGCTAGATTTAAGAACTGCTCAAGAGAAAAAGCAGGTATTCGTAATTCTGTATCTGTCTCATGATTTATTTATTTATTTATTTATTAGACTTATATACCGCTTCATAGGGCTTTCAGCCCTCTCTAAGCGGTTTACAAATAAAAGAGGTTCCCTTTCTGGTATTCCAGATTTAAGTTGTTTTGATTTGGATTAAGTAATAATGCAGTACCAGACCTAACTTTGCACAGAGTTGAATGTATATGTTTGGATTAACACCATTTCAGATTACTGGTGAGCTTTCAAATAATTGATAATTTTCCATAAAGGAAAAAAATCACATAGATACAGAAAAGGATGTGATTTGACTTTCTATCATTTAGCTTTTTGAATGGTAGAAACTTTCCCAGTACAGGAGTTTGGGATTCCACCTGCAATAAAGCAGTATAGATATTGCTTTATTATTCAGTGAACCCAGGCTTCAGAGTCACTAAATTACACAATGTGCATATTCATACAATATGCTATACAGTGATTTAACTAGAGTTTATTGAAGCCCATAGTCAGTTCTGTTTCATAATGCACTTAACTATTAACCATAGAATTCAAACTACACTGGATTTACAGACTGAAATACAAACAAATATGGAAACCATAGTTTAGTGTGGTACATTGTATGATTTCTGAGCCATATTTGTGGTTTAGTTTAGCAGGTAAGCTCAGGTATATGTGGCTTATTTTACAAAGCAAAGCATACAGTTAGTATGCTACATACGTATGGTCATAGACCAACTTTACTAAATCTTTTTCCTAGAACAGAACCTTAAGATCTAATGTTAAAGTATACTTGGTGCTATTTTGGAAGAAACTATCTGTTCTTAGAAAAATTTTCAGTGTTAATGGAAATAAAAGCTGATGAAATATTATTAAGCTTATGCAAAAATGGAGTAAACCATAATAAAACATTTTAGGTCTTTCTTCTCCATTAATAAATTCAATTGATTCGTAGCATCCCTCGATAACCGTACCAATATGGAAAAACATTTCAATTTTCATAGCTCTCTAATTTAAGACCATAATAATATATTCATGTTGCTTAATTGTTTTTGGTTTTTAGAAATTGAACTAAAAACTGATACCCGTAGCACATAGAATAGATTAATAAATGCCTGTACACTGATTTATTTTGTTATGTAGTTATTGTAATGAAAAGGGTATGACCACTTATAATTATTTGTTAATTTTATTTTTTGAACTCTTAATATATTCCTGCTTAACTGCTTAATTTATCTTGCTGCCCTGCAAATGTATTATTTTATTGTCTCTTCATTATTGCTTCTTTATTGTAAGCATATTATTTATTTTTTTCAATAAAATTGCTACAGCCATCAAAATGGTATCCTTTACTCAGCAACAGATATACAAAATTTAAGCCTGAATTGCAACTAAATCTGATGTTAGAAACTGACACCAAAGCATCCATCGATGGTTTTAAAGCAAGGGAAGCACCTCCCAGAGAAATGGCAGGTTAGTAGTAAAATAAATGCTTTTTTCCATAGAAAACAGCAAAAATTCTGTGACTTGTGATAAATCTATGAATATTCTAGGTCCAGAAATGGTTGGAAAATTTGTCATACAAATGTCTTATAAACTTGTTTTTATTTATTATTTCTATTGAATAGGTTATTTTGTGCCTAAAAGCAACTTGTCAGCTTCATGTATTTACACTAGTTTATTAATTTTAAATATGTCTGTACAATTTTATTATTTATTTGATTTTACTTAAATTCAGATGGTAGATCTCCAGATTAGGTTAAGTAAAGTAAAACCATTAATTCAACAGTCTGCTCAGTCCTATTGGAAAAGTTTTAGACCTGATTTCTGATTGTTTATAAGTGTACAGTATTATATATCCAGAAAATGAAGCAATCTTGGTTAATAATTGTTATTTAAAAGTTTATATAGAGTTATATGTCTTTGCGAAATATGTTAAACTGATATATTTATCTTGTGAATTCATTTCATTTTTAATGTTTCTTCAAAGTCAGAAGAGATTCCTTTGCATTTCTCTTAATGGTAGTTCTGATTATCTATTCCTATATGTCAATATCATATTCAGATTAATTTACTTTAAAAATTAAGATCTTAGAATTATAAATTGGTCGCATATCTACTATTTTTTTCTGTATTGAAATTTTAATTTTTTTGTCTTACATTTTGTAATATTTCTTCTTTTTCTAAATTAATCATTCTTACTGCTATTTTTAAAATCATTTTTCAGCATGTGTAAAGTTACTCTACTTAAACTTGTTTCAACAGTTTTACTCTTCATACTTTTATATTATTCTCTGTCCTAAATATTTTTTATATTCTGTTGTAAATTTTAGCAAAGTATAATCTTAATGCGTACTATATTTCATATGGTGGAATTTCTTTTCATCCATATGCTTCATAACATTTTCTTGCACACTTTGTATTAAGTTTGTTTGATTTATAGTCAGTTTGTGTAACCTAGTAAAACCAGTTTATAAAACCCAGACATTGTGCTCACTGTCTATGAACAGTGCTATAACTTCTATTTGCACTCATGACCTTCAGTTAAACTGGTATACTTCATTGCAGTCTTCCTTGGTCATTCACGGGAATGAATAAATGGAAATGCTTTACAATATAAAAACTCTGATTTTTAGGAATCACTTTCAACACCAAATTATGCTAAATTATTCCAATTTGGTAAAGCTGACCAATTATAAATACAAATTTATTAAAAGGAAGGGTTTAAAAATGTTATGTTTGTATGTGTGTGTGTTTATGTACTGTATGTAGACAAAATGTTTAAATCTCTCTCCCCCCCTCTCTCCCTCTCTCTTTCCCTCCCTCCCTACCTATACATCTATCTATACATCTATTTGTTTAGCTACCTACCTATAAAACAATAAATAGTATGCACGCTCACACATAAACACATACACATGTGTGATAAACTTATACAGTTTTTTCATATCTACTAGGAAATGTTTTCGTTTCCTTGAGGCACAACTGTTGTAAACTACAGTGACCAAATTGGTATTGGGTGTGTTCACAGGAT